GAGAACCACATAAGATCCCAATAGGCCAGGTGTGGTAACGAGCCGGGCGACAGCGGAGATTACTGTTTTCGGCTTTTTTCTCACTTTAGGCTTCTATTCATTCTGCCCTGAACTTGACGATGCTGGGTTGTGGCAACAAAAAGCAGAGCACAGCAGTGGGAGGTTAATGGTTTAATTGAATTGAACCCAACCTATTCATGAGTGCCCTGAGGAAGGGGGCACATCCCAGTACCAGGAGTGTCCACTACGCTATTAAGGATGATTCTATTACTAGATGTTGAAGCATGAGTGCAGTGGAGGGAGTATACCCCCATAACTTTGAAATTCCGCCACTCTATTGCAGATGATCAGAAACCGGACCCTTTGGAGTGAAGGAAGACCGCATAAGCTCGCAACAGGCCAGGTATGGTAATGAGCTAAGCCACAATGGATTACCGTCCACCACCTGTTATATGGGGCAGTAGTTAAATGTTCAGTATAGCAGACTGAGTTCGAATCTCGCCACAGTTGTCAACTGCCCCCCCCCCCTGGCAGCATGCAATTGGCCGCTTTCTCTTCCTGAAAATGTTGTGAGAATTTTGTGAAAGACACTCCGATGGTGCTGGATCACCAATTGGGTTGTCCGCGCACAAGACCGTAAGGTCAGTCTTATCAAGCTGCGGGAAGCTGGTAATCCTGACACCGGATTAGAATTATACCTGATATTCAACTAGAAAAACCCATTTAGCCACAAGTTACGTAAGCAATTATCGCGCACTAATCGATTGTCGCATCCATTTCATATGCATGGAAAACTTGTGAATCCGCCTGGATTTCAGGTGAATGAACTTCCCAGCAGTTATTGTTGATCGTTTTGTTCTCGGTCGTCATTCTTCTCGTTTGGATACTGACTGGGAATTGTAAGAGTATGATGAGTAGTGAACAGTACTGGGGTACAAGATCTATTTCGCCTGAAGGTCGATTGGAAAAAAGTGAGTTTTGATTATAAAGAAGCTACAATCCTCGAAATAAATGATGATGATAGTTGGGTATTGACAACTGAAATGTTCTGAGTTTAGTAAAAGAAAAGTTCGAAACGCCTTGGCATGTCTTGTGCACAGATGTTCATACAGATAAAGCTTGCAGGAGAATAGAAATGAAAAATACTGTGCGCACAAACTACAAAACGGATATCATTCATCAGCAAGGATAAGTTACAACGTGGTTAGGCCACATCCTTGTGAACTGAGTCATTTAGAAAACCTGAAGACTTGCATAGTGACTACGTGAACTACGGGGAATATTAGCATTACTTTAATGCCTATCTCGCTGCAAAGATGCTATGCGCATGAAGGACATACCCACAAAGAGCAGGTTGTGTTTCGTGTCGATCGGGGGTACGTCAAATCGAATCTTCAGCCGAAAGTCACTTACCCACCATCAAGTTTACCACGTGTCGATAGGACGTTCACGCGCCCTTCAACTCTGTCGACAGGATTGCAATGGGGAACCGTTTATTGAGAATTGGAGCACGTTTGATGGATAGCCCGTGTGAACAACGAATTATCTGATCGTGCGTCGTACGCGGAGTACCGCACTGTGTCTGAGATAACAACACAGTCCCCACCTCCCTTGATGATTCAAACCTATTTATCACATGCTGAATCATCGCCTGTCTTAGTGTGAGTTGTTTACGTGTTCTGACCAAATCTGGAGGAAGTGAAACCACGATCAGACTGTGAATTGGTGCGAGGGTATGGAGAAAGTTTTGTGCGTACAGCCTCATAGATACGTATCGATTTTGTGGCTGGAACCCAAGAGATGAGGGTTGCTGTGTGTGTGATAAGAAGATTACATGTTAGTATAACTCTATGATCACGTGAGTAACACCAACACTGGAAAAAGAACAGTTGTCTTCACTGATTTCCAGTAGCACCTTCCCAGATTGTATAGGTGGCTAGAACCACAACCGGTTATTCGTTGGTTTGATTAGAGGATTTTTAGTGTTGTGAAGAGAGAGAGAGACATTGTGAAGTTATGTGAATCGTGTGTCATTGTGCATGCCAGTATGGACATGCGGTGTTATTTACGTATCAAACTAGCATGTCATTAGTGACAGGGAAATATTGTTTCTTTTACTACATTTTCTCAAGGGATTGTGTCCATCATGGGTTACCGAAGATGGAATCGGTTATGGGTGTAGCGGTAGCCCTATAGTAAGAAGTCCGAATGTATAGCTCACCGCGTGAGTGAGTTCATTTACATTTTTCTCCCGGAACTCGAATTTATCCATTAACTGTGGTCCTAATATGTATATCATATTATAGCACCGTATACAATACAATATTTCACTATGCAGTATCAACAGTGAACTCACCACTGAAACAGCTGCACAATGCTTTTCATGACTTTCAATGATGAGTTGCGCGTTGATACTGCGTGATAAACGATTGTATAAAACATTGATGTTGGCCTGATTACAGCTTCAACTGATTATGCTATTCACTGAAGACAAAATGCGCACTCCAGGTAAACAAAAAATTCGTTTGCTACATCTCGGACGTGCAATCACCTAATGCGAAATAGCACTTTCCAACAATGGAAAAACGAATCGACACCGAAGTGAGTCCACTCGCAGATCGCCTGAAAAATTCTCGCAACCACTTGAGAGGAACAACTTGGAGTCTGCAAACCGCTTACATTTTTTGTTTCCGCCGTTCCAGTATCGTATCTGAATTAATGAGATCTGATGCGTTTCGTCATCCAGGTCTTCTTTTTAATACATAAGTTTCCAACCCCTCATCCCATTGAATGCTCGCCACTTGAGCGCTTATATTCAGTCCAAGAAATCCATCTCTTATCATAAACTAAGGAGTCCCATTGTAAACTACAATATCGAATTTCGGTCTGGTATTGGAACACAAATATCGAGATTAATGAGGAAATCGGGCGTGACGAAAGTTTTCCACCATCCAACATATGGTCTCGTTCACTCTCTCCAAAATCGCATGCTACGGTCATTCTGTTTGTGAACCTCGAGACGCCTTCTCGGTATACTACCCGCGAGTGATTACGTTACCGACGTCTTGGTCAGACGAATTCAACATAAGATTGGTCTCATGATTGCACAGATTTTTATCACACAAGCCCGAGGAAGGAGGTATGATTTTGACGGGGCATCGATTGTAATCAACTGGCAAATTACTTGATTGATATCACCAGTTTCAGTCACCTTGAGAAATCACGAGGTCACCGCCATTTTGAGCACCATATTCTACTGCAAAAGACCGAGTTCGAGAAAAGGCGTATATCAACATCTCACCAATAATAATACAGTTTACAAGAAACCGTTAGGAAGTGAAACAGATCAGGGGATTCCATACGATGATATTTGAAAGAAAATTATGAAACTCCACTGAAAAGGCGTATAGGACAACCGAAAATCTCTTACACCGACCCACAGATTCGTTCGTCTAGCCTCTAACACAACATTTCCACATCGGAACCGAAAGCTGCACTCTGGCTGGACGTTTTAACTCGAACAAAACAAATTCACGTGTGACAAAAAACCTCTTACTGTTATTCTTACCTTTACTTACTTTTTTTAAATTATATAGTGGTACTATATTTCAGTAAGGGGGCCACGGCCATTTAGAGGCTGTCAGTTGGGGAAGGTAACCAGCAGCGGAAGCAGGGCTCCAATCCGGGACAGGAGGGTTTAAATGCCATCATGATAACCGTTGGACCATCGCCATGGGATCAGAGCCATGACATGGTCAGCATACAGCCCCTACCTCAACCCAATGAAGAACTTTCGAGAACTTCTGACCCGCCGGGTAAGCCAAGGATGGCAAGATGTATGCATTGACAGATGAACTCGCGATCGCACTGAGACGAGAATGGAACAATATCCGTCAAGGTGGGATGCAGTCTTTCACGAAAGGCATAACGATAAGGTATACTGGGATCTTCAAAAGGTATGATCGTAGCACGCAAATCGAAGATATAAGTGAGCTTTCTTAGGTTGTGGTAACCTTTTGCCCTGGTAAATTTTCCTGTTTTTCCACGATAACTTTGTTTCAGTACGTGGTTTTTGTCTGAAATTCGTTATCCTAATTTAGAATTGGATCTCAGATTTTTGACAAGAGATGGAATTCTTGGGGTAATTATAAGTGCCCAAATCATTGAAATTCAAGAAGGGCGTGCGGACGTGAATTTGTCTCGAGGTATATTTCATCGAACTCTGAGGGCGATCTATTGTGATGATTGTGATAATTATCTTATCCGATGAAGTTACGCAAACATCTGTTTGTTAGTGTCCGTTCAAAAGTACCATGAATGGACGGTTCCGGTAACCCATGGCAGCGAATATTTCGACGTCCTGTTATACGTAATTTTGTTCAAATATCCCAAATTTGGACCTGCGTATGGCGGGTGGGTGAGTGGGTGGGATCATGACCGAATAACAACGACTACGTAAGTCTCGCACGTGATGAGTGAATCGGAAAATCGGTTCGTTCTTTGTCGAACGGTAACCAGTTTTCGTGTGAGACTCAGTACAACCGGTCAGCACTGGGTTGGTTCCGTTTCTGTACCGTTGGGAATAAATAGAGACAGCAATTCATTCACATCATTCTCGTTCGTCTGCTCGAAATCTTCCTCTCTCTTGTGTTGTGCTTCGAGGTTATGCCCACCATAGTTGCCCTTTCGGGTACTTTTTTCCTTGTTTCTGTGTGAGTGCGATAAAAGGGGCACATCCCATCGCCACAAGGGCGAATCGCATTATTGGAGAGAACCAACAAACACAACCCTGAAGTTTAGAGTGGAAAATCATTAGGTCAGATGCGGTCACGAGTCCAGGTCGACGACAGACTGCTGTTTGCCACCAGAGTTGGTGTTCGCATCGGCCACCTCCAGCTCAATAGTCTGACCTTTAGGAAATACCGGCTACTTGCTGTATATGATGACGCAACTTTTTTTGATCAAGTTTTACGTTTTCATTTCTCTCGCTTATTTTTCAGGTGCTGGAGAGTCCGGAAAAAGTACCATCGTCAAGCAGATGAAGTAAGTGATCGACCACTTCTCATACCTTTAATTTTTTCGCTTCCTATTGTTGCTACCTTTTACTGTCTCAGCTGCAGCGTCATGAATATCTGTACTCGGTTAGAATTAGGTTTTTTCCCCGAGTGATTTCGTTTTTTTCGGCGACGAGCGTTTTGTATCCCATAGGACTCGGTAAGTATAAATGATTCAACTTTAAAACAACCTGTGTTTAGGTTTAGTACAAAGTGACCTAGGTGTCATTTTCCACCACTGTGCACTAGCTCACTTTGTTCAAATTATTCACCGTTTTATCCTCGAGTCACGCAATCTATCGTCGTTATGCTCCGCACCCCCTCCCCCTCTCACTTGACTAATACCCCGGCGTTTGGTGGTGGAGAACAGTTGAATCCCACCTCACGCTGACAAAATCGTGTCCAGTCCAGTGGCCAGAAACAAAATTGGATAAAGGGTGCGTATGATTTGCTGAGGATAGTGAATATATCGGGCAAATTTGAATGTGATCAAAAATGTGTGTGAGAAAAAAATTATACGTGAAGATATAGTTAGACTAGCGATTCAGGCGTGTTTTAAGACCATTTACTATCACGTCAATTCGGTCCACAAATAGCGAACAACAGCGTAAACAATAGTGCTATTTAATAGGTAGAGAGGCGCGGGGGAGGGAGGATTTTGCATGTCAAACGAGCGAGAAACGGATTTGAGGAAAATGGGGCTGAGGACATGGTTTAGGTTAGGATTACAATCTAACAATAATTGTCACAAGCATCATTATGTTTGCTAATGATAAAGTCAGCAAGGGTCTCTGCTAATGCTGCTAAAACAAGATGTAAGTAGTATCTACAGGTGGATGAATGAAGCATCTCGGAAACACGGTCGTTTTTGCGGTTACTGCTACTCATCAGGTATGCGTATCCTTTACTTCTTGTCCCATTCATCCTTATAGTTGTACACTCCGTATGTGCTCGTTCAAAGCAATCTGATTTGTGCATCAGGCGTGGGTGAGTAGATGCTTCTCTCAGACGAATCACAACTGTGGATTCTTCTGCAAGGAACGTCCACTCCCAACTCTGATGTACAAATTAGATTGTTGCGAACAAACTAGGGAGTTCCTTTTTTCCACTTTAAACCTGGAAGATTATCAGGGAACAGTAAAGTCAGTGAGTGAGAATGCAAAGAATGGCAAGCTGAAGTACAAGGGGACTAAATTTTGGTCGATAGAAAGGTAATTTAGCGTACTTCAGTAAACATTTTCAGTATAAGTTAGTCCAAGAAAGACCCTTTCCAAAAAACCTTAGGGAAGACAATAATAGCCAGTGTAATAGTATGGGAGATCAATAAAAGTTTGATAGCTTAAATCACATTGAAGATAACGAAGTTCGTTCCAACTGTCTTGAAATACATTCACACTTTCAGTTCCAGTTCAGGAGTGTCGGGGAAAAACCATAATGGGCGTATTGGCGACCACTGAGATTACGGCAAATAATAAGCAGACTTGTACAGTGCGCGACGAAAGTATGGGACCCCTACGCCCTCATTTTCCCAAATATTTTCGCATCTTTATTCTCTAAAGAAACCGTACCCGGTCAGAATGACCGAATACCCATTGCGATGCAGAATGTACAACTTCACAACAACGACAAAATTATTTTGAGTTATTTAAATCAGAATGTGCAAAGAAAGTATGGGACTCTCCGCCTCTTAGCTCGACTTCTACAGTTACTACTTAAAATCGTGTTCCCTACCATCCTGCTTGAGAACCTCGATACATATCGGCATACTTCTTACAAGATTTGTGATTGCTCCCTAGTCAATACATTACCCATTCTCGCTTTGAGGTGGGTACCAATTCACTTTTTGACCGGTCAATCGTGCAATCAGGTTTAGATCTAGGTTACAGGCTGGCCGCGACATGACCTTGATCTCGCGGAACAACAGTCAGCATTTTGTGGTGGGTATGAGTAGTGGACAGGAGCATTATTATGTCGGAATATGGCCTCATCTTGTAATTTGGTGGTCAGTGGCAGGCGCAAAAATTGTGCGAATATACGCAACGAAATCTTGTATGCCCTCAAGTACAACAAGCTAAGAAGGTTCCGAAAACCATCACCGAGCGCCTGTCGTTGTTTCTTTGACTGAAAGTTCGTTTATGATATCATACCAGTAATAATTTCAGGCATCCGGTTCATCCAGGATCAATATTTTTGGCCACTAAAGTAGACGTTTTTTCCACTTTTTTCACGCTACATTTGTTTCAGCCCATGATAAACGTTGTTCTCTATGCGTCGATGTAAGGGCAATGTATCTTTTTGCGTTTGTGTATCTCATCCATGACGCAACTTGGGACGTTCTTCGTAACGTTCGTTTTGGAACACTGATTTCGATCAAAGAATTCAAACTCGACATGGAGCATGTGTTACCGGGGGCTAGACGAGTTAATCTGCGTCCGTCGATTTCGTTAGTTTTTTGCGCAACCTATTCGTTTTTAAGGCGCACATTGCTGGTTATATTCCAGATGCCGTCGATTGGAATTTCTCGATCTATTGCATGGTCCGGCGATTCCATGCAAATTGAGTCCCATCTGGTAGAATACGGATATTTCGCCCTTCTCGAAATCTGTTACTTTCCGTGTGTCATTGAGCAGGCAAAACTCGATAAGGCATATAAGTGCACCCAACGAGAATGACTGGTCAGACTACTTGGGCACATCACGTGCTCTGGAGCACATGACTCACGTGACTCTGGTTCTCACGGGTTTGTCAGTCGGTAAATCCACAGACCGAACCAGTCAGCTTGTTGCCAGGCTCAACGTTCCGTCTGGTTTTACGAAATTTTCCATGGGGTAACGCATCGGAATTGGGGTCCGATACTTTTGTCACCCCCCCCCCTTTACGCTTCGTGCGCTGATTAGCACAGCGAATTTTTTCATTCGGAATTTTGGTATGCCGAATCATACCGTACATTCGGTCGTTCTGGCCAGATATGGTTTCGTCGGGGAATACAGAGCCGGAATTATGCGGAAAAATGAGCGGGGTCCCATACCTTTGTCACGCGGTGAATAAACGAGTATTGTTCGAATAAGGAGGGGTGGATAGAATGGGACCCAGGAACCAGAATTAATTTAAAATTCAGTTTTTCAACGGGACTTAATCATCTTGGGAGCAAAAAACCACCATTGTGACTGTAAAATCGCATGATACGTGGTGTTATTGGCCCGAATGACTGGAATTACATTTAAGTTTGCCGTCCTACTTAGTCAGTCAAATGTGGATGTGCTCAGTTCTCCAAATTATTTTGGGTGTGCCAGTGCAATCATTTTTCTGTGGCCGGACGTTTTTTGACGTCATAGCAGGATGAGCTGCTGTGCGTCAGTATCTCTCATCAGATTGCCATGCATCTAATGTTCAGCTTATTTTATTCATCATTCTTGGCAGTAGTTTGTCAGGGGAAGAGTGACAGTTTAAGAAAATAGTAAGAATTGGTTTTCTCCAGAGATTTTCTCTCTCGTATAGTCGTCCTCCCCAGGTGTGCTTTCAAACAGAGGCATAGTTTAGACGTGCACACCGTCAAAGGTGCACAAAATTCTCATTTTCCATGACACGTTGATAAATCACTGTTCACTATCGGTTTTATTTCTGTTCATTCACGTGAACTGGTTCATTCGCTTGGTGTTGACAAATTGCCCATTTTCGAATGGAGTGCCTATCCGTTTCTAAATCGCAGAGTCGACCGAACACAAAGAATTGAGGTGGGCTAACACAACAGACATTTGTCCATAGAGTAAACATAACGAATAATCAATAATTGGCGGTTGTTTGTGGGCGCATTTCTCTTACGTGCCACACATCAGTCCGCAACAATCGTCCCGTTTCGTTCGCTGAAGTTCGGTTCGATCGACCATATTGCTTTTCTGCTAAACAATCTCGTGGACTACGTTTGTGTGTGCATGTGCGTGTTTGTGTGTACGAGGGAGCAATGGGGAGAGGTCGCATGCTGTATTCACTTTTTCTTTTGAGATGCTATTAGTCCCACCCTGTTCTTCTGCGATAACTTTCGAACCAAACTACTTAGGTGGACCAGGTTTGACGGGTTGATTTGTCAACCCACTACTGTGCCAAATAAACAAACGGATTTTAGGCGTAAAGCAGATAAATCGATTTATCACGGGAAAAGTGGCCGAGGGGGCGCGAAATGCTATTAAATTCACCTCTAGACTATAATGATAGAACAAGTAGCTGGTTACGAAAATCAGTAACCTCTATTGGTAATGACTGAAATACAACGTCCAGACGTGGCTCCAGTTATGTTCGGGATGGTCATGGAGGATGGCTAATATCAACGCGTGCAAGGTGCCCATGACTTATCCGCATAGACTCGCCTCGCTAACCGACCCGGGTTCAGGTGTGAACTGTGCGCGGGTCAGTCCATGGACTTGATGTCCCTGTACAACAGCCACATTCTGACGAGATTGGCTTCAGGTATGGCTGCGTTGGTATATTGAAATATCATAGTCCTTAGTCGATTTCCCGGAATCATCAGAAGTAAAAATTTACTCAGTGTTCTGATGTAGGAGTCATCCGTCTGCTTCGTTTCTAGAACTGCTAGCTGGGATTTTCTGTCCTGAATTGCTGCACCCCAGACCATCACAAGGACATCACCGATGACTGTGATCAAGCTTGCTTTTTCTGAAGCTGTACCATTAGTATGCGGTTCCATTAGGGCGGTCTAAATTAAACTTGTTCTTATCGATAAATTTCACATCATCCCTTTCAACATTCCAAATGGTGTGATTCCTCTCGATTTTGAAAATGACGACTATTCATCCAAGGCACTAACCTCATGTTTTTGTACCTCAGATATAATGTAGACTGTAGCTGTTGTGAACGTCGAACGCATACATTCAGCTGCAAAAATCTCTGCAGCCTCGATACACTCGTCAGTTTCTTGGACGCACCATACAAGAGCCCCCCCCCCCGTGTCCCGCTCGGAGACTTGTTTTTGATTTGCGTCACGAAACGTTGAACCCAATTTGGAGTATGTTTAACCGCGTAACTACTGCTCTGTCAGCACTTACATTGAAACTGAATTAGAGGCAGACGTTGTTTCACTGAAGGTGTTGGAATCCTAATCGCGACATGAACAATTCTGAGGTCAGCTGTACGCCGCGTACTCGAGCAATCGCTGATCCAAATCGTCATTTGAGCGAACAGTTAACGTCAACACCTCTGAATGGACAAAAAGCATCACTCATGGTTTCGATGTCGACGTAATCGTTTCTTTGTGACCTTAGGTTTCTTGACTTTCAATGAGTACATCAGTATGAGCGTTTTTAGTCAAAGCCTCTTTCAGCTTTTGTAATGCGTAATCAACTTTGTCTTCGGTGCAAATCCGTCTTGCTGTGTGAAAGCATCCAAAACAACGACGTTTCTATTCCAAAAGGGAAAATCTCTCAAAATGCAAGTATTGGTCTATCCAACTGTCCATTCGTTGAACAGATCTAACGATTGTTCCGCCATCCCTCCCTAGCAGTGTAGTGGGCCTTTGAGGTTATGGGGTGTACCTTTTCATCTGTACTCGTGCGCAAGCATAAAATGGTGAAAAAAAATTTGAAAAAAATCGTACAGCGTATATTTGGATGCAGACGATTCAGTCCACAGACCGTCGTGCCTACCAGACGACGTATAAAACGCATTACGGTCTGACACCTTGGAACTGATTGTCGACTCGGTTATTTTTGGAGTGGATTTCTTTTAGTGTGGGGCTCTGTCTTGATTTTTCAGTTTTCTTGGTCGTGTCCACGGATTTTGCAAGTCCTTAAGTTATAATGAAATAACTCACTTATGAAATGTGTGTTAGTTTCTCGAACACAGACTATTGCGTTTGATCAGCACGATTTTGGACTCAAGAAGTATATAGGTGGATGGACAAAGTTCCTCGGAAGCCCACGACCGGTTTACTGGTTATTACTACTCATCAGGTTTTCTTACCCGGTACACCTCGGTCCACTCATCATACTTGTACACTCTGTAGGTAGAACTTTCTCCACCGATCGATATACTACTCACATCCAATATTTCAACTGGTGACCACAGTGTCGTCGTTCGCAAAGCGAGCCGCGGCTTACTCACAAAGAACTGTCGGCAAATCACAGCTGTAATTCCCTGGTGGATTCTCCTAAGAGGAACGTCCACTCACACTCCTGATGCACAAATGAGACAATTGTGCCCAGCGTGATTTTTATCCCATCCTATTGCCGGAACACAACGAGGATGGGGTTACACCCACTTTCACTATCGGAGACAATCGAAAACCATGACTGTAAATGGTGGTGCTGGACTGCATAAACCCCTAATAAGTCTCGGTTGTGGTAATGATATGGATGACAGTGTAGCGGCCAACGGTGGCTGTGTCCGAATCTCTTATTTTAGGCCTGGTAATTCACATCACGAGCCCACCACAGGCTTGAAGTATATTTGCCGATTCAGAGTTTGTGACACATTAGAAACATCACATCGCTCTCATGTTTTTTTTAACCGTCACCGATTGCATTTAGAAAGCGGCTTCTTTGGAAGTCAGGAGATGGTCAGACGACCATCATGGTCTTCTGTCTCGGATTCGAACCCCGCCTCGGTCGCCAGTCACTTTCCCCAGTTGACAGCCTCTTATGGGCGGCGATCCTCTGCCTGAACTGTTGTGCTATTTATGTTTGATAAATACTAAAAAAAAGCAACGCATGAGCATTAGGGTTATTAATTAAAGTTTTCAGGAAGAAATCACCCAATTATGATTGAACGTTTAACAGTCGTTCGCTTTTTAAAACGGTACATTCATTTTGGATGTAAGATTTTTTGAAGCACTCCTCAACGGGTGACCATTTGATTTTTCAGTCGAGTTCTCATCCCAGCAGCTTTCAACTGACTGAACCTCTGTGTGACGATCGATGCTTTCTCACACATTAATTTTGCATATCGTTGTTTCGTATTTGGAAATGCGGAGCACATAACTGTCTGTAAGCGTTCCCGACTCGAAGCTGAGTCGATGGTTGGCCATAATCCTACAAAGAGGACTGGTTACTCTTGTCTATTCTGGTCAGCAAGGTGGGCTTAAGTGACCATAATGCCAGTACTTCCAATCAGTACAAACTGACCACTAGCTAACCAAACATTGACGAAAAACGAGCCTAAATCTGCCCAGAATGATACGAATTTTGCTCGGTTTCTAGTCAATCGGTGAAATCAGGCATTGCGAGGTAAGTACCGCACACGTTCGTTAGCTCAGCGCGCGGGCCAAACACGTTCAGTCTAACCAACTGGTCACCTTTCGATCGGCCAGGTGATCACTGTTTATTGGGCAGGCAGCTTTTAGGATCACTATTAGATTTTCTCGTCGTTTCTCAGCCAGTATGTTCATTCAGCTTGAAATCTGTTAAACTGAACTCTCTATCTACTGATCTCGTGAGAGGACTGCGTCAAAAGTCATGTTGATTAGCTGGGCAACGAAAAAAGAGGTATCATTCCGCTATATTCCACTCCTTGGGTCAGTTTTATCAATTTATTTTGGTGGATTTCATGCCGAAAGTTTTATTGACGGATAATTACCGTTCACGGCTGAGAAATCGTAAGACCAGACCGAGTAACTCCAGGAAACTCCTCATTAGGGCCGCTTTCTATGCTGCCCCGACTGACTGGATGCATAAAACACGTGGCATACAACTACACGTGATTCACGTGCAGTTGCTCCCGGTGGTTGACAATCACCTATTGACTCGATTCGGAAATAGCTTGAACTGGTACAATTAGTGTGCACTGGCTTGGAACACATTGATCCCATGTTATTGTGACACGGGGATGGGAAGGAGCAACAGACTGAGCATAAGTTTCGTTCGTAACTGTTCGCTTCTGTGCACACACCACATCTCATCGTTAGTATACACCTTTCGGATGCTAATCATTGTGCTGTTCATTTCTTGCTACAGTATTTTCTATATTTAGGAGCCAAACACCGTCGTTTCAAAGCATTGCGCTACAGTCGAAAAGCCTTAATCAATGATATCGAGCCGACTAAACTATGGAAAATAGTGTAGCCGAAAAAGTAACCGAAAACCCACCTCCTCTCAGATTAGCTGTTATACTTGGATATTGGTGTGCAGATGAGACGAATTACAGTGACAGTCGGATGGAATGTCCAAATCTCACACTTGCTCTCCCTGATTGGCTGTTAGATTCATCAAAACCCTGTTCAGGTACTCTGATGACGTCATCGTAGTCGTGCAGCACTAACTGCAGTGAGACGTGGTGTAACGAAGAAGGCAAGACGGGCGAGAAACACCTGTATTTGAACAGTCAAACCAGTCAAGTCGGTGAAACACGTACAACAGTTCATATAGTCCTTTTCCCAGACCTCGCTGTTCTGGCGAGTTGCTTGCAACCATTTGCTTGATTCTTTTGCGCACTATTTTTGTTCGGTTGATTCGATTTTTGCGGTTGACAGCTTGATCGGTAGCCCCTAAAATGGGCTATCTTGCTGGTTGCCTGAGATCCCACAGCGTTCCGTCTCCTAGTCCGTATGCATCTTTTTGTCTGTTACGAAATGTTTCTGCCATGTTCACCGTCTGTTTTTTGATCTATGGCTCTCGATTGGCTGTCCCGATCGGTTCGATACTTGCATCGTTCTGTTGCTACAGTACTATCCGCTACTATAGGTGTGCCGGCGACAGTTTTTTTCTTCAAAACTCAATAAAAACTTGATTAAATGATGTCACTAAATTGAATTTCGTGATTACCTTCGATATATCATCCCAGTTGTGTTTTTCTTCGTGCGCGGTTTCATGGGTTTGTTTATTTGTTTCCACCCCCACACACTTCATTTTTGTGTATAGAATTATCCACGAAGGTGGTTTCACTCAAGAAGATAACAAACAATACAAACCAGTCGTTTACAGCAACACAATTCAGTCTATGGTGGCCATCCTACGAGCAATGAACACATTGGGAATACAGTTTGGAGACGCGGAACAGGGGGTGAGTTGAACGCGTAGAGAATCGTGACTTTCTCGTATAAACCGATGCTCACTTGCTCATGCACGAAATTCTTGGGTCTTTTAGGACGTGAACAGTACGTTCGTTAGTTGCATTCGATGCAAGGCGTTTCCAAGTCTAACCATATGTACGTGCGAGGCAAAACTGCAAACATCCCACAAAACACCGTACACGTTCTGGAAGAAGCCAGTGGCGGAAAGCATTCCATGATAATAACCCTCTTGATTCTTCTACCGACTAAGAGCACCATCTATGCCGAATATTGTAGGTGGAGCGTGAAACGTTATTCAGTTTGTTAAACATAAGTTATCATATCTTGCACTACACTGTTTCGCGATGTCGAGAGTGCGTTCCGTTTCTTTTGTGACCGGTTCCGTCGAGTTCCTACATAGTGTCATACTCAGACCATATGGGATGCGATGTTTCATTTCTCAGCTTTGTGTTATTAGCTATTTGAATCTGAGTCAGTGGCGACGACCATAAGTCTGTTTGGTTTGTTATGTCGCCGTTTTAGATCACCTCGATCCAGGTATTTCTTGTCACGATTGCCACATTTCATGAATTGTATGAACACCTGCAACTATGACTCCACTCTAGCTGGCGTTCTTCCAATCCTCGGGAAGGTTGCTGCTGTTGATGATGGTGATATTTTGCCGTTGTTTCTGTGCTCGGCTGTCATATGTGCCCCGAGTCTGTGCATCGCTCCTTTTGTATGAGTTTAGGATTGCAATTCCTTTTTAATGTCACTTTGAGGAACTCAGAAACAAGCCGTCTGACGTCTTGAACACAGACCAACGTCAAGATCCATGTACACTCCAGCAAACCATCAAAAATTGCGATTGTTTCACTCTGTCTTGTGTCAGGAGCAGTGATGGCGGTGCTGGTTCCCGATCACTTTTTGTGGTCAGCCTCTGTTTGATAGTTCGACTCCAATCGACGATCTCATTAGTATGCTAATACGGTGTATAGTTGTGCACGTATTGAATCTGCCGTTCATGCCAAAATAACGCAATTTCCCGCCGAGAGGATTGTTTCTGTTATCAGAATAGTTGTTGGAAGACAATTTAGTCCCGTGAATACGGATTCAGGAATCCGGCGCACAGCGAACAGTTTAGAATATTGGCGAGAGCTTCTAGTGATCAGAAATTCACATTGAAGCCGATGATATCCTGCAGAGATCCAGGAATTTTTACATTTGACCATCTAAGAACCCTATGCAAAATTTGGTATGCGTGATTACTTCAGTGCACCGCAGATGCATTCTTTCCCACGGAAGTCAGTAGGTGGGCAGCGGAAAATAAATAGTTTCGCAAAAACCATCAAATGGGTGGAAAGTGAATTTTGATGACTCGTGAAGAGGAGTTCTTAGCGAGTTAAAGTGAGTAAATAGTGTAGATAATCGCCAGACGGACACATATGGACGGCCTTAGGTTTTATTCAACGGCAGTGGAAGTCTTCTCTTTGTGTTTAGTTCAAAAGGGAACTGCTACATAGAGTGCGGCTGCACCTGCCGCTTGATGGTGTTCCCGATTGTCCAGATCACTTTCCCGGATAAAAGATCGAAGTTGAAACTGTGCAAACGGTAATGTACAGAGTAAATCCGGTTGCAGCTTGTGAATTATACTTTCGAGTCTTTAAAAAGAGACTGGAATAGGTAACCTTCTTCTGAGCTTCCTCGACTGGATGATGTTCGTTGTTATTGTTCTAATAATTCCGTTGATGAGACTTTTCTGTGACTGCAAAAGGAATGGCCTGGAAATATACTGTGACTGTTGCGTTCGATGGTTTACGACGTACTCAATCGTTTGGTGACTGCGGAAACAACTATTGGCCGCGTCTGCTAAGTGCGTCTTTCACAAGAACGAACCAACTAGTCTTCACCTAAGTGGTCACATGTTCGTTCATCACAGATTTCAGTGTCACCCTCCAGCGACTCTAACGTCATTTGCGTTTTCACCTGTACTTGCGTATGTTGGGAAATTCATAAAACCCATCTGCTCGGGTGATTGCATCTGGAATTAGTTTGAACGGAACGAACAGTTGACCCCAAAGATGCGTTCATTTTTCTATCGCGGTAAATTAGAAAATAATGTGTGGCCCAATTGCTGGTCTTCAGATGGTTGGACCAGGTGTTTTGCCCACGTAAATAAACAGCGTTCGATTCGACGTTAACGCCGTGGTTAGCTAATCAATGCGGTCCCTGCGCTCACAATACCATAGCTTTACCAATCGTAAAATGCGCACTATTTTTGCGAAAAATACCGATTGGTACGCGAACAGCACGTCTCTGTTTGTATAAAGTATTCTGATAGTATTTAAACAAATGAATGTATAGGTGGAAACCACGGCCTCGTAGCGACTTTGTTTATTAGTTCGCTCCGCCAAAATTCCGACATTTTAACAGTTCAGCTCAGCTGAACCATGCACTGTGGGTCAGTTCTGATTCCCAACTCTCAACGGAAAATGTAAAAAGAACCAGTAGTAGGAAAAGAGTAAGACAAAAACTTCACGTAATAAGTCGATGAAAAAAAGTTTGAATACAAGGGCGTTATTGATAGTAGCACTTAGCCTTATTCTCGCATGCATCTAACCGTCTAGTTGGTGAATCTCTCGGACGCCACCCGGGAAGTCTGACCCGCTCCTCATGGCCAAGTTCACCCGTTAGGCCTTTCAAACCAGCGTGCCGAATAGTCCTATCTGGGGACATACGTAACACATCCCAACCACCTTAGCCTGGTGGGCTTTAATGCTTCGTCCAATTAGTTTGACGTGCCTAACCTCAATATTGGTGGCACGATGTTTCCACCAGATTCGAGCAATGCTAAGAAATCATCAATGTTCACGTACTGATAATTTCCGTCCACAGCGGCCATACATCGAAATCGAAAAGGAGAAATTGTCTAATTGCGGTAGCGTACACCCGACCCTCGATAGATAAGCGGATGTCATGTCGGCGCCACGGATGACTGAGGTTGACGAAAGCATTGTTGATTGGACCACACAATCTGCTCACATTAAATTCCATTCACTGGGAATTCAGTTCGACTTTATGATGACTTTAATTTGCTATCCTTTCCTTGATTTCCGGAGAACTGTCCGCTTCTTTCATTTCTTGCCTCATTTCCAGCGTAATAACGACTCCCTATCTTCTCATCAGTGTGTTAGATTTAATTGAATCTGGTCCTACCAGCTCCGCCGCTAAAGACGACTTTTAACTACATATTCATTTGATTTTGTCTGTTGCTGCGTGGTTTACAAACTACTTATTTCTCTTTCGGTTGTTTGACGTTTCCCGGCAAGATTTATATTCATAACAATGCAGATACACGGACGTGGATTACATCCGGACCAGCTTCGATCATTATATTACCATTCCGGCATACTGCCGCCTCATCTCTGCCCCAGTGCGTTCTTGCGCCGCATCTATCACGTCCCGTCTATACCCATCGATCGATGCCTCGCACAACCTTGCCAATACCGACCAGCCATCGACTCCGGTCGCCCTTGCCTCTCGTTTGCCCGTTCGACTGCACGTCCCAACGCCTGTCTACGCGCGAATGTGTCTTCTTGCATGTGTTCGCGCGTGTATGTGCTTGTATTCTTTTGGAAATAGCCTGTATCGAAGACTCGTCACCTCGACTACGCTCGGGTCGACAGTCCTGTTCCATAGCTGTCTGCCCTACACTCATGTATAAGGTTCGATCGCCCGACCACCCGATCGATACCTGGATTAGGGCAACTCGTTTGCTGCTAGAATAGCCTGTCTGTCTCCCTTTTCGTGCGGGGTAGACATTGGAGTTTTGTATTAATATCATTTGTGGCAATGCTAAACTTGGCAGTGGGGGTTTTGAGAGTGAAAATAGAAAGGTGAGGACGATGGGGACGAATCCATCGGTATTTCATGTCCTCATCACAATAGTGTGGTACAACAACAGCCTGAACCAGCCCGCCAGCACTTCAACTGCCTAACCGTTCGTCCCATGATCAGCGTCTGTTGGGCTGGTGACAGTGAGTGACCAGACCGAGTGCGTATGTGCATTCAGATCAATTACTGGGAATGCGGGAATGAACAAGACCATGTAGTGGACGAATTATGAACGACCGCTTGTGAACCCAATAACAATTCGTAGCTATAAGATTCAGTTTATGGAATTTTTGGGTTTACATCACGCTGTGTCAGTATGCAAATCATAGAAACAACTACCCACAGAACTATTCATTCTCTAATCGTCTTAACATCACAACGCACAGTGACTCGTGTCGTTGAATTTTCTCATCTGGCATATTTTTGGTCAGACGAAGTGAGAGTAAAAAGTTTCGCCTTCCAAGCAGGTAATAAATTGCCCATTTAATACCGGGCACGTACAATCCATCGATCGTCTTTCCTAGATTCAGAGAAATGTCTTCTTATTCCTCCCTAGTGTTTGCGAATTTGAACCGGTTTTCCATGAGAGGCAGTCGTTCATGATTCTCATTAGATCGATCCATCTGTGTTCATTCGTTGATGAGCTTACAATCTCTTCCAGTATTTTGGAGCTGTCGAACTGACTACCACTGTTATAAGAACCGTGGGCATCCATTCCGGAGCCAAACTTCCTCGCCAACAAAATACCCCCACTCTATCTGGAATGATTACCGTTTGCACAATATATTAAAAGTTAGTGGGATAGTATGGGGGAAAGGTGAACAGATCAGATACGTTTGTTCTCACTGGCCTGATTTCCTTTCCACGTTTCTAATCTCACAATGCGTACGCAGATTCACCATGATTTCAATGGAAAAGTTCCCACTTCATAGCCCTAAAGACCCACTGCACTGTTAGGGATGGACTCGGCGTCCATTGGACTGAGACTCTGGGTGAAGAGCCACATATAATCCGAATGGGTCGGGTGTGGTAGCGAGCCCAGTGACGGCAGATTTCTCTCTACCACCAATGTGACTAGTGACTGGGGCGAAAACTCACTACTCCACGACCACTACCGGTCAGTGATCATGATGCCAAAGAACTTCCATGAAGTTGCGTCCGTGTTCCGTAGAAACAAAATCAACTACTGTATTGCCCAATTCACATCACTTTTTTGGGTAGACGACTCCAATGCCCTACCTGAACTAGCAATCATGATCATTCATTCGTTTCGGTAAAAAATGATCTAGGCGAACGCACGTTTAACGGGTTAAATGCCACATTAAGTTGGTTGCACAATCAACGTGGTACTATGGACGATCAATAAAGCAGAGGAAAGAAAAGAGAATGGGTCGATCGGTTGATGTTTGTAATGCAGGTGTTCGGATTACGTAACCAGAAAATGCACGTTCTTTACGTTCACATATTCGGCCACAATAGTTTAAAAGTTGGTGTTGTGCTTATAAGTTGAATCCTATTCCGTTATTTATCATAAAAATAACTTCAGTTTACTAGAACCAGATATCACAGAATGGCATTAAAACGTTCTGAGTCAGTTGAAATAGGTGTGAAAATGCTAGCAATTCTTTTCCATAGTACCAAAATACGTCAGCTAAGTTTAAGTCTCATGGATTTCCCACCGATCTGCTTCCAAAAGAAATCTAAGTAGTGCATGCTGTTTTATTTTGGATAATCAAACGAAATGAAAAGCTAATTGGATAGATCTGCATGGTCCAGTGACGGCTTATCTTTGAGGTACCAGTTTTCTCAATTGTGAGGATAGTGGCAGACACATCGTGTATGGACGCCCCGGTTCTGTTGTCAGACTGCACGAACTCGCCCGTCCAGAATCAAGGGCAAGGTTGAACTCAACAAAACAGATCGACGATTCGGAAAGCAGGCAGCACGTCATCGCTTGTCCAGAATCAAAGATAATATTAGAGTCAGCGAAGCAGAATAATGATGCAATCAGTGACCAGCAGTTGTCTGAGCCGACCGGAGCCGATTCAACCAACCGGCCGGAAGAGCTGTTCGTCAATAACAATTAAGCCAAAGATTTCATTATGGACACCACACATCTCTTGTACCGATAAACGAATATAGTTTGAAGGCAGAAGTGTCTCCTACTAGAGCTGGTGGGACGGACCAAAACAGTAATGCGATATGAATTGTGAGGTCCACAGAATCAGTACATCTGTTTCGCTTGGATTGCCAGGACCTATCCATCGAGTCCCAACTATGATTCGAATTTGATGTGCAGGATTGTGTCCCTGACACGTCAACACTGTGTGATGAGGCGCCCATCCGTCACTGGTGTTGAATGGGCACTCTAACTACCGCGTCTGAGTGGAACGGATGCATTACCAACAACCTATAAAAGTTTTTTACATGGATAATTTAGGCTGTTGAAGATGTGAATTGTTATGAAATGGCGCTGATGATTCCTACCGAAACAGTTGTGCAAAGCTCCAATGAGTTTTTAATGCGTGATTGTTTGTAAAATGCCTATTGAAATCGGTTGAAACATTTCAAGTGAAGCCAGTATCTGGTTGCGTTGAAACGAGTCATCAATACTATTAGATGTTGGTGCTTTGCAAATCGATTTCCCCCGTATGTAATGCGTCCGATCTTGCATCGTCCTCACAGCAGTTGAATAGACACTTCGAGTCTGTAATCACAAGTGACTATGCTTTTATGATCTAGAATATCCCGTCGGAATACGATGATTTTTTCTGATGAACTATCTCATTTCCCTCCCGCGTTTTATACTCTGTCTTCTGCGTTCATTTAGGCTGAGGACGCGCGAATCGTGTGTGATGTGATCCAGGCTATGGAAGACACAAAACCCTTCTCTGAGGATTTACTAGAAGCAATGAAACGGTTGTGGGCGGATGCCGGAGTACAAGAGTGCTTTGCGCGTTCCAATGAGTATCAGCTGAACGATTCAGCCAAATAGTAAGTATTGATTGGTGTTCACTAATTACTATATTATTAATCTCTATTCACCAGCGTTTCCAATAGTGGCTTGCCGACCGATGGGCATGAAATCGAACCAAGCGTGTAAAAGCCCCATACAAAAAGTACTCACCCGGGGGTTTTGATTGCCACCTATCCTAATGTTATTCGGTGGTTAGTTTCGTCTACTATACGCCATCGAAACTCCTTTAGTATTATTATTATTATTAGTATTATTATTATTGCATATTTGCGCATGAGTGCAGTGGAAGGGGTATATCCTATAGCCTGAAAGGCCAACTGCACTATTAGGGGTAATCTGCCACTTGAGACTTTGAGTAGCAGCGAACCACATAAAGTCCGGGTAGGTGAAGCAAGCATGGACATTGTCTACCACCAGAATTACCTCTGAGGTGGTAGGTAAACGCTCTTAACCATTTAACCACAACCGGTCAGCAAGCTAAGCATAATGCACATTTATTGATCACAAACCAGTTCAGTTCATCTGTCGCGGACATCAGCTTTGTACCTCACTGTACTACCCTCCACCCCCCCTTCCCCGTCTCCGTTGCTGTCTTGCAGTATCTATCCCATAATTAAAAGTGAGATTAACTGAATCGTCAAGTGGCAACAAGTACGGCTAAGAAAGTCATGAAAATCATTTAGACGATGAAAAAGTTCGATTGTAAGTACGCAACTGACCGTGGTATTTGGCCATGCGGATTAGTTTCTCCAACCGTCTGGTAGGCGAATCTCATGAACGCAATGAGGTTAGGCTGTCTACTGAACTATCTCAATTACAAATTAAGCGTGAAAGCTGGTAACGGTTTATCAGTAAGCACGATATAGAGTTCGACTGACAAAGCTAGATGAAATTCACTGACTTAACCCTCATGGAGAAACTGTCAGATAATCGTGCTGTTCGATGGGTCGAAAAATGCTTCCAGACCAAGGAAAAATCAATGGTAGTTCCGCAGCAGTCTGTCAACATCTTTGATTCCAGGTCTCGAACCGTTTTGCTGTTTGTTACTTCTCACCAAAGCAGTTCACCTCCTGGTCCTGAAAACATTAAAGAATTGAAATTAATGACCACAGATTTCGGCTGATATGTCCGTGTTCTAAGGTGCGTCAAAGTATATCTGTTTGGTTGAAGCATCCGGGACCATATCTGAAGTTGTTTGTACTATCGCACGTACAAAGATTCTTAGCGTTTATAAGTGGTAGACAATCATGTCAGGAAGCAGCTTGTATACGCTACCAACCGGACCAGTTTCATCCTGTCTGAATAAATGTTCCTTTATGAGAATATAGTTAGTATGAGATTCGATCTATCTATAGTGTTTCATTATGATGTTCAACAAACTTTTGAGATCCAGCCCGGATAGCTCGGTGGTTAGGTGTTCGTCTCAATCAATCATCCCGGGTTCAAGGCCTAGTGGGTTCGTCTTGGATACGTGGTTCACTGATGATGCTCATGAAGGGTGAAACAGCTCCCATGGTTTTTGATGATGAACCATATTATTCAAAAACGTTCCATTACTTTGAATTCTTGCATAGGAACAATGGATGTGCTTTTTTATCCGACAACAGATCTAGTTTTGCCAGTGGGAATGTCATTTTCAAATATCAACTTAATTACCAAACCTAAATGAGTCAATGAGAGAATAATAACAATCTTTGTTTAGCCGACTGAGCTCGGGACTCCACGTTTCACGCGCAAACCTCAGGTCATCCGACCAACCTGCACTCGGAAGCACCCGACTCGAGTTTTGCTCTTGTTAGAACTCATCAGTGGTGCGTATCCTCTGCCACACCCAGGCCCTTTCACCTCGAGGGCATGTGTGCGTCGAAGATGGAGCCCCAAGGACAGTCGGCTGAACAAAGGTTCATCAATCTTACACACTACTCGCAAGTAATTGGGCGATAAATAATAACAGTCAAAAAGGAGCTTGAAGACAACAGATGAATGAATGATCCTCGATTTGAATGAGTGAGCGGATTTGCTGTATAGCATACTCACTATGCATAGACTATCAATTCAACCAACGTTATGCAGTGACTACTTTCACCAGTAAATCAACATTCCTCCTGCATAACAAAAGGCTATCAACGTGGTAGGAGCTGGCACAAGGCGAATCCCTCTGACTACTACGAAAGTAATAGATAAGGAGATGTAAAGGTGAACGTTTGATGCGGCATCCACGGTTCACGACTGCCTGTGGGGCACATGTGATTCAGTAATATCTATAATTACTGGTCTAGAGGTGGCGATTAGAAAACGACATACTGATCCCCTTGGGGTAATAGACTGAAAACAACATCACGTAAATAGAATGTTTCCATATTCTGTTATCTGCAAGCACTGCGATAACCATCGTTCTTTGTGACTAACTCTATGAACTCGGCGACCGAAAACCGAGAAACGTGTGTGGGTGGCTATGGGACACTTAGTCGAGTGCGTTCATTCAGCCATGTGTATGCCGACCATCTTGCGTAGATCACACGACAAGTAAGAAATGATCACCACATCTTTTTCAAAACGTGTCAGTGCACCATCATATAAATTTTATGTCTGCATGAACACGGTATAGGATGGGGTATAGCGAAGACCAACTCTGTAACAAAAAACAGTGTAGATTTGTATCGGAAAACCGTAAACTGCTTCTCTTCAGACCTGGAGAACGATTAGTCTGTATTCTTGGAGACCTACACGGACTGGTCGCCCGTTTTGCTGTTTACTACGTTCTGTTTCCACCAGCGATCATTCTCTCCTGCTACTGAGAGTAAAGATTTATTCGTTACCTACCTACGAAACCTGAGTAGAGCCAAAGCAGATCAAATTCTCAACTGAGAATGTCCCTGCTCGATAGATCTCTCACAACTGTTGTTTCACGATCTTATTCCATTTATTTGTCATTCCGTAGTGTTAGTCTCTTACCAGCACCCTGAAGACAACCTTTCATCGCTGACGCACTGTGGAAACCGTTTTTGTGTCCCATTGCAGATTAGACTTATTTCATCAAAAGTTTATATTTAGGCTGAAGGAGTGCATCACAAGTCCCATGATAGTACTGGCGTAAACTATTAATCGGATTTGTTGGACGGTGTGAACCAAGTGGTGTATTTCGTCACGTTCCTTTTGGGCGTGATGAGAAACGCCTTGCGATGCACGATGTGAAAGATTAACACATAGTAAATATTCTTTTTATTATTTGATGTACAACAATGCATGACAATTCAGTAAGGGGGCCCTGGCCAATGGAAGGCTACCTGATGGGGAATTGGCCGGTGGTGGCGGATCGGTAGTGACAAAGTCCACGATGATAACCGTTTGATCACCGCCATATTATTCCATCATGTCAGTTTTACATTGCGAATTAAAACTAAGTGATAAAAGAAAGTAGGTCGGTCCATGAGTTATTCATTGGAGCAAAAAATAGACTTTTTAAAAATAGTAGTTTATATGCGTTTACGTGGGATGATAGACTGATATCTTGAAGAACGTCTGTGGTGGAAAGCAGTGAAGTTGTGACCACGACCACGTGTTAACTGTCCGCGATTGGTAAAAGGGTCAGATAAATGACCTCCGGAAGGTGGCGGCCTACCATCTGTACTTACCGTATGGGGCAACGCTTTCCTCGTTGCACAATTGATCTCATTACAAATACTAACGGCTTTACATTTCCCAGAGTGAAAAACAAAGTAAATGGTATATGACAGAATGACATCCAATGGGGCACTTGAGTGACGATGATAAAGCTGGCCGGGTCATAATTTTTATCTCGGGATGTTTTATGCAATAAGAGTCTTCAAACACAGAAGCCGAGCATTAGATTGTGCGATATATTCCGGAGTATTTCGCTGCATCTTTACTATCGTGTACTGCAGTCGAAGCGATCGTTTTTTGAGTCTATAAAATGTCTTCCCAGCTGGTAACGTGTGCTTACGTGATGGATGTGACCCTAGTATAGTCCGAGATACTTTCGCAGAAAAAAGTTGGATAAATAAACGAATTAACAGAAGATGAAATGAGAGCAAATTCAGATAGCATCCTTTGTGGCAACCCGTCTGGACCACTCGCTTGATCACATTTCATCTTCATTAGCATCCCATGTACATAGAAGGAATATATCACCTGTGTGCTCTTCGTTTAAGATTAGCGTGGAGCCTAGATCCATTGACCATCATCAAATATCCGTCAAGCCCGCTAGTTTGCATCACTGTTACCTAATTTTCACGAACATTGTAGTCTGACTATTATTTTCTTTGTGGTATCTACGTTATTTTGACTACTAACAAGCTTCTCAGTAGTAAACTGCGAAATTCGACCTCCCCAGTTTCTTTGTCCACACTACATCGGCACTCAGGCGGCTTTCTTAACTGGCATTAGAGTTGTTTGTTCACCTTATTCCCCGCCCACTTTCTGTTTCAGGCCTTTTTACACTTTTTCTGTCACCCAACCTTATGTCCCCCTTCGCCACCCTACACATATCTGCTTGTTTTTTCATGGCTTGTGCTTGCCTGTTTCACGAATATCGCAGAATTTAATAGTGAATATGCGGTTTGTACGCAAAGTACGACCTGTTCTCTGGGAGTGGATTTACCTCAGGAGGTTTGAATTTCCATTCTTGCTACGAAAGTGGTAGCATAAGTTAGAATGTGAAGTTTTCAAATAGCACGGGAGGCAAATTACGTTGTATTATCCGTTTGAGAAGACGACGAACGACACGGGAATTTGCAGATCATACCTTCAAAAGTGTTTTGTTTAATCGCCGAGTGATCGCATAAAGCTACCGATATAAATGGTATATAAACCACTATTGGCTCGCTTATCGTGGTTAAACTGGTCATGTTGGTCAATTCCGCAGCGCCTTGTGTGGAACGCCCGAGTTGAATCGCAATTTATGTAGAATTTGCTCAGCGACATGCCGTCCATTAACACAGTATCTATCACCAACGTGTTTGCAGTTGAATACCGTAAACTCACTTCAGTCTCATGA